GAAAGAAATGAGATTACTGTGAATATAACATATTGAAAAATTAACCAAATTTTCCCGATGTAGAGGCAATCAAGAAGGCTGCATAAGTGAATATATAACCTATAGAAAAATGGGCTAATCCAACCAATCTTGCTTGCACAATGGAAAGGGCCACAGGTTTATCTCTCCACCGAATCAAATTGGCCAAAGGTGTGCGTTCATGAGCCCATGCTAAAGTTTCAATCAATTCCTGCCAATATCCACGCCAGGAAATTAAAAACATAAATCCAGTAGCCCAAACAAGATGTCCAAATAAGAACATCCACGCCCAAACCGATAAACTATTCATACCAAAAGGGTTATATCCGTTGATAAGTTGAGAAGAGTTTAACCATAAATAATCTCTTAGCCAGCCCATCAAATAAGTCGAAGATTCATTAAACTGTGAAAGGTTACCCTGCCATAATGTGATGTGCTTCCAATGCCAATAAAAAGTAACCCATCCAATAGTATTTAACATCCAAAAAACTGCCAAATAAAACGCATCCCATGCCGAAATATCACAAGTACCCCCCCGTCCCGGGCCATCGCAAGGAAAACTATAACCGAAATCCTTTTTATCTGGCATTAACTTGGAACCCCGCGCATCTAAAGCACCTTTTACTAGGATCAATGTAGTTGTATGTAAACCCAGAGCAATAGCATGATGAACCAAAAAGTCTCCAGGACCTATTGTTAAGAATAATGAATTAGTATTTTCATTAATAGCATTTAACCAACCCGGCAACCAGATGCTTCGACCCGCATTGAATGCCGGACCACTTGTTGAAGATAAAAGTAGATCGAACCCATATGAAGTTTTACCATGAGCCGCTTGTATCCATTGAGCAAATATAGGTTCGATCAAAATTTGTTTTTCCGGAGTACCAAAAGCAAGCATGACATCATTATGAACATAAAGTCCCAGGGTATGGAATCCCAGGAAGAGGCTGGCCCAACTTAAATGAGATATGATAGCTTCCTTGTGGTCTAACATTCTTGCCAATACATTATTGGCATTTTGCTCCGGGTTGTAATCTCTAATGAAAAATATAGCTCCGTGGGCAAAAGCTCCTGTCATGATAAACCCTGCAATATATTGGTGATGAGTATATAATGCAGCTTGAGTAGTAAAGTCTTGTGCTATGAATGCATAAGGAGGTAAAGAATACATGTGCTGAGCTACCAAGGAGGTAATAACTCCTAAAGAAGCTAGAGCAAGGCCTAATTGAAAATGAAGCGAATTATTGATTGTATCATAAAGACCCTTATGTCCACGCCCCAACCGCCCTCCCGGAGGGATATGTGCATCTAAAAGATCCTTAATACTGTGTCCAATCCCGAAATTAGTTCTATACATATGACCAGCAATAAGAAAAATAAATGCAACGGCTAAATGATGATGAGCCATATCAGTCAACCATAAACTTTGTGTTTGTGGATGGAATCCCCCAAGAAGGGTTAGAATGGCAGTTCCTGCTCCCTGGGAGGTCGCAAATAAATGACTACTTGAATCAGGGTTTTTGGCATAAAGATTCCATTGACCTGTAAGAAGTGGGCCTAACCCTTGGGGATGCGGTAATACATCTAAGAAATTATTCCATCGGACGTACTCCCCTCTGGATCCAGGAATAGCGACATGTACTAAATGTCCTGTCCAAGCCAAGGAACTTACGCCGAAGAGTCCTGACAAATGATGATTCAGACGAGATTCGGCATTTTTGAACCACGAAACGCTCGGTTTCCATTTCGGCTGTAAGTGTAACCAACCCGCTATTAAGGATATGGCAGAAAGAAATAATAAAAAAAGAGCTCCAGTATAAAGATCTTCATTAGTGCGCAAACCGATTGTATACCACCACTGATAAACACCAGAATAAGCGATATTCACTGGGCCAGGAGCACCCCCCCGAGTAAAAGCTTCCACGGCCGATTGGCCAAAATGAGGATCCCAAATTGCATGAGCAATAGGTCTTACATGTAAAGGGTCCTGCACCCATGATTCAAAATTTCCTTGCCAAGCTACATGAAACAGATTTCCGGAAGTCCACAGAAAAATGATTGCTAATTGCCCGAAGTGAGAAGCAAAAATATTCTGATAAAGACGTTCCTCAGTAATATCATCATGACTTTCAAAGTCATGTGCAGTCGCAATACCAAACCAAATACGACGAGTAGTGGGGTCCTGAGCTACCCCCTGGCTAAACCTTGGAAATCTTAATGCCATAATGCCTTTCAAATCCTCCTAGCCATTATCCTACTGCAATAATTCTTGCTAAGAAGAACGCCCATGTTGTGGCAATTCCACCCAGAAGGTAATGGGTTACTCCTACAGCACGTCCTTGTACAATACTCAAGGCTCTCGGCTGAGTAGCAGGAGCAACTTTTAATTTATTATGAGCCCACACGATGGATTCAATAAGTTCTTGCCAATAACCACGTCCACTGAATAGAAACATTAAACTAAAAGCCCACACAAAATGAGCGCCTAGGAAAAAAAGTCCATATGCAGACAATGAAGAACCATAAGACTGAATTACCTGGGATGCCTGTGCCCATAAGAAATCACGGAGCCACCCATTAATAGTAATAGAACTCTGCGCGAAGTTTCCTCCCGTGATATGAGTTACTACTCCCTGATCACTTATACTGCCCCAAATGTCTGATTGCATTTTCCAACTGAAATGGAATATTACTACCGAAATCGAATTGTACATCCAAAAGAGTCCTAAGAAGACATGATCCCAAGCCGATACTTGGCATGTACCACCTCTTCCAGGCCCATCACAAGGAAAACGAAAACCAAGGTTTGCTTTATCCGGTATCAAACGGGAGCTACGAGCAAATAGAACACCTTTCAGGAGTATCAAAACTGTGACATGAATCGTAAATGCATGGATATGATGTACCAAAAAATCCGCGGTTCCTAACGGAATAGGTAACAAAGCCACCTTGCCGCCCACTGCCACTAAATCACCACCACCCCAGGTTAAACTGGTGCTTGCCGTTGCACCAGGGGCCGTTGCGCTGGGGGCTAAAGCATGGGTATTTTGTATCCATTGAGCAAAAACGGGTTGTAATTGTATAGCGGTATCTGAAAACATATCTTGAGGACGGCCTAAGGCGCTCATGGTATCATTATGAATATACAAACCAAAACTGTGAAAGCCCAGAAATATACACGCCCAGTTGAGATGTGATATGATTGCATCACGATGTCTAAGGACACGATCTAATAGATCGTTGTATCGAGTAGTTGGATCATAATCTCTTACCATAAAAATGGCCGCGTGCGCAGCAGCACCAACTATGAGAAATCCACCAATCCACATGTGGTGTGTGAATAATGACAGTTGTGTACCATAGTCAGTAGCTAGATATGGGTAAGGAGGCATGGAATACATATGGTGAGCTACAACAATGGTTAAAGACCCTAACATGGCTAGGTTTAGAGATAATTGAGCATGCCATGATGTTGTTAAGATCTCGTATAGGCCTTTATGACCCTGGCCTGTAAACGGGCCTTTGTGGGCTTCTAAAATATCTTTTAGGCCATGACCGATGCCCCAGTTAGTCCTATACATGTGACCCGCTATCAGAAACAGAATAGCAATAGCTAAATGATGGTGTGCAATATCGGTCAACCATAGACCCCCAGTTACTGGATCTAATCCTCCACGAAAAGTAAGAAATTCCGCATATTTTGACCAATTCAAGGTGAAAAATGGGGTTGCTCCCTCGGCAAAACTTGGATAAAGTTGAGCCAAAAGTTCGCGATTCAAGATAAATTCATGAGGGAGCGGTATCTCTTTAGGATCGACTCCAGCGTTTAGAAATTGGTTAGTCGGTAAAGATACATGCACCTGATGCCCCGCCCAAGAGAGAGACCCAAGTCCTAGTAGACCCGCTAAATGGTGATTCAGCATAGATTCTACATCTTGAAACCAAGCCAATTTTGGGGCTGCTTTATGATAATGAAACCAACCAGCAAAAAGCATTAAGGCTGCAAAGACCAATGCACCGATTGCGGTACAATAGAGTTGTAATTCACTAGTTATTCCAGATGCTCGCCAAATCTGAAAAAAACCAGAAGTTATTTGGATTCCTCGGAAACCCCCGCCCACATCACCATTCAATATTTCTTGGCCCACTATTGGCCAAACCACCTGGGCACTTGGCCCAATGTGAGTTGGATCACTTAGCCACGCTTCATAATTGGAAAAACGAGCACCGTGGAAATACATGCCGCTCAGCCAAAGAAAGATGATGGAGAGTTGACCGAAATGGGCACTAAATACTTTTCGAGAGATCTCCTCCAAATCACTGGTATGGCTATCAAAATCGTGAGCATCAGCATGTAGGTTCCAGATCCAAGTGGTAGTATCAGGTCCTTTAGATATTGTTCTGGAAAAATGACCCGGTTTGGCCCACTCCTCGAAAGAAGTTTTTATGGGATCCTTATCCACCAAAATTTTTACTTCTGTTTCCGGCGAACGAATAATCATTGAGTCCTCCTCTTTCCGGACAACACATACGAAGAGACCTGCCAACAGTCAAATAATTAGTAAATTTTTGAGAGAGATTTCTATAATTAGTTTTGTTCTCTTGTCTTTTTCTATCTCCCATTTATCTATTTTCTTTAGTTCTTTACTAGAGCAATTATGGTCTGGAAGTCGATCCAGGGCAAGTGTTCGGATTTATTATGACATAGTCGGTAGGCGCCCCGCGGACCTTATGAATCTCATAAAACCTTTTTGAAGCTTTGGGTTGAAGCAAAAACGATCTTTTTGTACAACTTGGTGGTGGCAATTACACTATGCCAAATCACGCGAGCAACCGTTGCTAAGAAAGATCGCGATATATTAGATATTATATATATATATATTGGAATAATTTAGCTATTTAATTTAGCTTTCCTTATATTACTATCCTTATATTACTATATAGTTTATATTNTAATCACAATTCTAAACTCGAAGATAATTGGAATATTATTCTCTTCAATACTAAATCTTAAATATTTTTAGATAGTCAAATTTTCTTTTTTGTTTTGGATTCACATCCCATCCTGTTACACTTCTATATTATATATCCTATATACTTATATATTTTATATTTATATACTTTTTTATATATTTAGATTTAGT